AAAAAAAAAAGTGAAATAAAGAGGAAAGGTGATTAACTGCAAAAAAAAAGAAACGGAAAAACAAGAAAAAAACCGAAAGGAAATGTCTGATATATTGATTTTTGTAGAAAATTTTCCCTTTTCTTTGATTACGAGAATCAGTTTACATGACGTAAATCTTTAAAAGAAGAAAAAAAAGGAACGGAAATTAGAAAAACGGAATATATAAATGAAGATTTTGTGGGATATCGTTGTTCTTCTTTCTTGTTGTCTTAATCTGGGCATAGTAAATGCAGATTTTTAAAGACGATACATTGGAGCCATAGTAGGAATCGATATGCATAAATCGGCGTACCGTATGCGATTATTTTTACAAATATAATATTTGTTTTATCGTATAATCGTTAAGCATAAAAATTTTTTGATAGATTAATCATTGAAATATAGTTGGCTTAATAAAATAAACTTGTTTCCTTTTTTGCAAATTATAACTTTACCGATGTAAACCATATTAATACAGCTAATGCACTGTAGCAGTTGTCGAAAACAGAAAAAAATCAACATTGCTGCATGAAAACACATTGTTTAATAGATAAAAATTTAGAAAGACAAAAAATTGACTGTATCAGTCAGCAGCAATAGTAACTTTATAGTAAATTGTTTTTTTGCATATAAAACATAAATAGGTAAAAGATAATTTAAGTATCTATTTTCGTTTTTTTTTTTTTTAGCATTTATTTACTGTCTTAATTGAGCTCACAGTTTTAGCAATTTTTGTTCTTTTGACTTTCTACTGTATTATAGCTTCTAAAATAAGTAATAAGTAAAAAAACTACTTGTTACTGCTTCTACTTGTTACTGCTTGTCGTTACAGTATTGTCAGTTTAATAAAGATACTGTTACTAAACACAAAAATTTTTCTATCTATACTGCAAAATATCGGTCTTAAACCAGTTTGCTTTACCAACTGACAGCAGTAAACCATATGACTAAAAAACAGTTAAATATACAGAAGAAAAAGTGTCTAAACTGGTAAAAAAAGTAAACAGAAGAGGATTTCACATGCTGTATTGTTCAATTCTGTCTGTAACTGTTATCATTTCAATCGGAAGTATTTGTTGCTACAATAGTTGAAAAGTGATTAAAAAATTTCTAGTTTATAACCAAGACAAAAAATCAAGTTTAAAATTTTATAAGTAGAAAAAAGAATGAACTTCCAACAACTAATAAACGTACAAATTTTACAATAAAGCTATCTAAAGCGAATAAAATAAATTGCTTAATCACAAATTTTTATAAATTATTGTGTTGTTGTTATTTTTGAATACAAATTCTTGATTACTGCTTAAGTTGAACTGTTGAACAGTTTGGACTCTTTTCTTTTACTATTTGTCGCCTTTAAAGTATCAGTTATTCTAATTTTTTTTGTTTAGCTCAACAAGTTTAAGATAATAATGGCAAAGACAGTTATCAATAAGTGGTAGTTTTTTTTTTTTAAAGAAAGACAAAACTGCGAAAAACAGATAAAAAATAAAAACCGAAGTCAAATATACCACTTAGCGTCAGTTGTTTTTATATTTAAAAAAAGAGCTGCTAGTGCTTCAGTTTATTTTGCATGTTGAAAAAGAAGAAAATAAAGTGATAATCTAAATAAATAAATAAATAAATAAATAAATAAATAAATAAACAAAATCTTGTTTTCTTTTCTATTTATCTATAAATCTGTTGAAAAATATTTACACATTTTTATTCCTGCAAAAACTGAAATGACAACTGCAGCAGCAACAAATTATTATTCAGCTGTCAAATCAAAATAACGACTGTTCTGATAAGTTCTTTAGACAATAGTATCAATCATTGTATTTAGCTGTCAATTTTTTTTTTAATTTTCGTTTCTTCGATCACTGTATCACTATTTCTAAGCTTTTGTTTTACTATTCAAAAAATTTCTCATTGCTGCTGCATAATAACCATATTTGCAAGCAAATTAATGTAAAAAACAAAAAATCTTCAAGAAAGAATTTTGTTGTTTGATAAACTGAAAAGGAAGTGATGTTGTTTTTACAGACTTTAATCTAACAAAAAGTGGAAAAAAGAGAATAAAGATGAAAAGCAGAAAACAATAATAAGTTCTAAAAAAAACTGACATAATGTTAAAAGTGGAAAAGAAAAGAAGAAGAAGAGAAACAGAAGTCAAAGTATTAATCAAAATTTTTGCAACAAAATGAAGAGAATGAATAAGTAATTTATTAAAACAATTGACAGACTTTCAATATAAACTAATAATTCTACACATCGATATACTCTGTGCCACAATGTACAAACCGTTCAGGACGAATTGTTTTCTGCTGATGATGACAGCGCTGTGCTTCAGAAGATTTTTACAACTGTATATCGGCCGTCTAAAAATTTGGCTTCAACAAAAAACAGAAGGCAGCAACCTGAGCCTCAGTTACATTTGCTTTGAACCTCCGAAAAGCACGATGCCGAGTTGGCCGTTGATATGTCGATTAACCATCACTATCACTGATGTATATACCCTTTAATTTGCACGGTTTCTTGCCTTTCCCTAGTTTATTGATGTCTTAACTCGCAAGAGCAAAAGAAAAAAAATGTTATATAATAATTATTTAATTTTTAGGTTTACTCATCTTTTTGAAAATTTCT